TTATATTAAGTGTGATTTGAAAGGTAGTTTTGTTAGTAAATAAAAAATGTAAAATTTTAAAATAAATGAGAAATTTTGTATCAATTAGTTTTTCATCGTTATATCTTATGTTTAAAATACACAGACATTTTCATCGCATATTTTTCAATAGAAACTATTGTTTTAACTGGGTATCCTATAAGGAAAACTAATTCGATCGGGAAGTCAATTAAAAAAATTATTGAAAAACACTACGTTAAAATATTTATATATAAAATGCAGTACTTATATTAATGTATTTAATTGACTTTTCAATTGAACTTTAAGATGAAATTTTGTGGACATTATCTAAATCTCATGAAAAACATGCTCAAAAAAAATTATCAAAAAAACCACTAGGAACATCCTCAAATCGCGGCGGCTAGACGGCAGTTCTACTCCGGAATTCCGAGGGTGAACTTTTCTACTCCGTAATATATATATAAATAATATGAATTTAGGACTTAATTGCAATTAATATAATGAATATTTACTATTTGCACTCGATAGTAATCAATTGAGTAAATATTATGAATATAAGACTTAATTGCAATTAATGACTATTTACTAATTGGACTCAATAGCAAATAATTGAAAATTCAATTTCAATTAGAAGGTTGTACTTTATTAGTAAGGAAGTAGATTATTTCATGGAAAATGCTACGGGTACACAAGTTGTACACAACTTGTACACACAATGTCGGTCACAGACAATTGGTACGGAATTGTCTGTGACCACAGACAAGAGTTGTCTGTGTACACAGACAAATTTTGTCTGTTTCCACAGACATTTACTTTTTTGTAAAAAGTACACTGAGAGCCGTCTGACACTGACAAGTACTTTTTACAAAAAAGTAAATGTCTGTGGAAACAGACAAAATTTGTCTGTGTACACAGACAACTCTTGTCTGTGGTCACAGGCAATTCCGTACCAATTGTCTGTGACCGACATTGTGTGTACAAGTTGTGTACAACTTGTGTACCTCTAGCATTTTTGAGACCTACTACCATTCCTATATGAAATAATAGTAATGCTACTTGCCATTCCAATTATTTAGGACTCCTTCAAAATAAAATCTCATATTTTTTAAAGTGATTTAACTTTTTCATTTGTATTCAGATAGTTACGAAAATTATATCAAATTTCATAATCTTTTATTATCTTTCAAATGACACCAATATTGAATATATAAAAATAAAAAACTATTTAACACTCAAAAATTCATAAGTTTTTATTATCTTTCATATGACACCAATATTGGAATCAAAATCATATGATTTGGTGAAACCTTAAATAGTTAAAACACTAACTGTAGTATATTACAAATCTCCATTTAATCCTTTTCAATGTCTCTTTTTATCCATTAAATTTCATGCATACCTTTCTTGATAACTGGTACGTTAAATGTTTAAATATGTTAAAACAAAAATTAGACTATTTTACCAAGTAGATATAGTTCATCCGAAACTATAATCAATTCAGAATCAAAAGTTAAATTGAAATGATTATACTAAATTTAAATAATGTTTCTTTAGTTGGGAGTAGTAGCTTTCAAAGTATAATAATACACTTTTTTACGGGGTCTAAGGATGTTTTTACTAATCTGTCCCAGACCAAATCAGACCAGATCAGACTAGACCAGACCAGTTCAAAACAGACCAAACCAACAAATTACTGTCCAAGTAAAAACATCCTAATAATACACTTAAGTCTACTAATACTACTATCACATTCAATGGTCAATTTAGGCTGGTGTAATGACACTCCATTGCCTCAAAATGGAGATGTTGGAGATTGGGTAAAGGTTGGTGTAATAACTCTCTCTGTCCCGCTAAGATTGTCCCATTTTACCATTTTGGTTCATCCCACTAAGATTGTCTCATACCAAATTTGGCAAAGTTTGTATGGTTCTAAATCATTCTTACTTTATTCTTACTTTTTCAATTCAATATCAATTACATAAACCAATTTTTATTAGTTTGTGTGTCACTCCCTCTTGTCCCATTGTTAGTGGAACGGAGAGAGTACCATGTTAAGAAAGTGTTTTTTGGTTGTCCAATTTTTTTTGTTAATATCATTTTAATCAATTAATTTATGGTTCCTTTTATTTGTTTTGCCTCTTCATAAATCTCAATTACTCAATTAACAAATCGCCTATCATTTGTTAATTTTTACATCATTTTATTATTTTTCATGTCAGTGAAATTGGAGGAATTTTAATGTACAAAGGGAGTGATTTTGAAAGACACTTCGAATCTATTAAAGTCATAAGTTTTAGTTGTTGTTTTAGCACAAATAACATTCACATACTGTTTGGAATACCTATTATGTTTCTCTAACCATCTTGACAATAGTAGTTCTGGAGAACATTGACTTACTGTGAAATCTCAATCTTGCCGTTGTGAGAATTGTAACCGTACGATGCATAAGTAGTAAAAGTTCTTCAAATTTCAATGTAATATAGATAACATTTCTGAGGAGCCCATAGTAATAGTAATACTACATTTTTAGTGAGTACTTCCTTAGTCTCAAAACTAGAATTTATTTGTTAGTTGATTTTAACAATTAAATAATGTCATTTGTTACATTCTTTATGTTTTTTAAAGACGCTCATATCTACATAATCATTTTTTACTTCATCATTTCTTTGATCGAACTAGAAAATTAAACAGACATTAATAAAGTTGATTGTATAACATAATGATTTCTATATGTATTTGTATATATACTTAAGTTTTATTATTATTATTATTATTATTATTATTATTATTTATATGTATAACATAATGATGTTAAGTATTAGTTATCATATACTATGTATAATTAAATGTGATAATTCTACCAGTCATGTTCATTAATGTATCTGTATATATGTATTTTATACACACAAGAATACAATATTAATTATAATATTTGTGCAAAAACATATATAAAAATGCAATTTCTATGTCTCTGACTAGTCCTCGACTAGGCGTCCGTCTAGCCGCCTAGGCGCTGGGCTGACACCTGACTAGCGTCTAGCGCTTTTTAGAACATTGATTAACACACTGTATCTTTCAAAAACTGTATTGATAAAAACCTTAATTTTTTTAACTCTAACTCATACTTAACTTAGTCACTGCACGAAGTATGATGAAATTTCGCACTAATGGTGAATTTTAATGTATATAGTACTACCTCCCCCAAATTGATTTGCAAATTTGACTTTTCTTGCTCAAACATTTTGATTTAATTTACTTAATTGAGATGTTAATTTTTAATTATTTTGTAATTTGGAGTTTGCAATTTTGAAGAGATTTTAATGTAGTTTCTGAATATGTAAATTTTAATTATTAAAAATTGAGTTAATTATCGATAAGGAAGATTGACTTTTATTACTGGTTGACCAAAAAATGTTGACTTTGCAAAATAATTTGGATGGAGAAAGTAATGATTAATATTTGGCCAAAGAAAAATAGTAATTATTAATATTTTTGTGTAATGGCTTCAATATTTTTTGTATAATACTCAGTCACATTTTGTAAAGCTTTTAATGTAATTTCTAAATATGTAATTATTTTTTTCTAAAAATAATTTAAATGCGTACAAGAATCTGTTTGCTTTATTATCAATCAAACATCGTAAGCCATAAAGTGTGTTACAATTCGAGACTGAAGTAACAAATATGCAAATGATAACTAAAATTAGATAATACGTACTAGTAGTATAGTTTTTTCATTCTTTTTTAGTTTCCCGCATTTTTTGTTGGGACGTTACATTTTTTGTGATTCTTTTTTTATACTAGTATTGTACCCGTGCGATGCACGGGACAAAAGTATTTTTGTATTTTAGATATGATATACTCCGTTGTGTATGGAGGAAAGTAGTAGGGGTAATGAGTGTATAAAAACAGGAGAAATGTGTAATATTAATAGAAGTCAAAGTAAAAAAATAAAAGGAATTGAGTATTTTTAGAAGGTAAATCTATCAAATAGAAAAAAATGTCGCAAATTTAAAAATATATCTCAAAAAAGAAATGTACTCATATCAAATTTTAAAATATAGAAGAAGTATAAATAATGAAATACTAACGTGATATGTTTAATCCAATAAAACTGAAATAAATGTATCTTGTGATAATAAAAAGAAAAACCAATAAGCTCTAAAATATAAAAAAGCTACAGACATTATAACACAAAAACATATTTTGGAAAACTTATGAATATACATACAACATTTATTGTGGTGATACGGGAGGCACCATCAATGTTGCTTATATCAATATGAATACAAATACACTTGGTATGTTTTCTTTTGGTCTGAAATTTGCTGGTCTGGTCTGGTCTGGTTTGGTCTGTTTAAGTCTGGTCTGGTCTGAACTGGTCTGGTCTGGTAAACGTCTGGTCTCTGTGTATTTTATAACTATCCAAGTCTGGTCTGGTCTGTTCTGTTTAAGTCTGGTCTGGTCTGATCTGTTTAAGAAATGTCAAATATTGGCTATGAAAGAATCAACGTATGAAAACCCAAACGTTGAGAAAGGAAATATGGAATTGAAGTTCAAAATTACTTCACATATGTTCCAGGTAATTATATTTTATTAAGTCGTGGTCTTTTTGTTTACATGATCTAAAATTTATTCAAAGTTAAGAAATAAAAATAAAGGTGTTGAATATAAAGATGTACCGCCATGCGTGCTCCTATTTTTGATAGCTTAATTTCTTTGATGTCGCAACATATAAATAATGATTGGAGTGGGATGAAAATGCCTTGCTAAGGACGTGCAGGTGGAGATGTAACCGACCCACTATTGCACTTCAAATGACATAGTGGACTTGCCACGTGGTTGCTTTTGCAAATAGTCAGGATTCAATAACCGTGTATGTTGTGAGGGAATTTGTATTTGCTCATCTTATGACACCTGTAATATTTTAATGGCCAGATTTGGCCTTATGATTCTCACGATTCTGCTTTTATATATATATATATTTTAGTAACCGTATAATTTTTTTTGTTCATATTTTATTGATTGTAATTATTGTTGTGTTCATGTGTCAATTATTTACATGTCCAACAGTTCAAGATCTACATTACCAGCCCAGCTTTTTATGAAATTTCATCGCAATGGAGATGTTATTAATCTACTCCGTATAAAATTTCAGTATAACCACCAGTAGCGACCAAATACGAACGCAAACAACCGCAAAAACATTGAACAGTGACCAGAAACCATGTGAAACTAATTGAAGCGCCCAAAAAGCGCGGGAAATATTAGTAGTAAACGGCCAAACAAGGAATTAAAAAAACAAGTCCATCAATCCCTCCAGTTTCCGTCGGGAGCACCACCGCTCCTATAGCCACCTCCTCCATATGCACCACCACTTTGGCCGCCTCCGTAACCATGCTTTTCGCCGCCGCCGTAGCTACTTCTGTCGCCGCCTCCGTAACCACGGCTATCGCCACCTCCGTATCCACGGCTATTGTCGCCTCCGTAACCACGGTCGTCACTGCCTCTGTAACCACCTCCATAACCACGGCCGCCACTTCCATAGCCACGGCCGCCTCTGTAACCACCACCTTCACGCTGATTACCATAAGAGCCACCTTCACGGTTACCGTATCCGCCACTGCGTGACCCGTCGCCGCGGTTCTCGCGAGGCTGTGCCTCGTTAACAGTAACTTTACGGCCATCAAGTTCCATGCCGTTCAAACCCGCGATCGCATCCTGCATCCCTTTTTCGGTTTCAAAGGTAACAAAACCGAATCCCCTGGATCTTTCAGTGTCACGATCCTTGATAATCTGATCAAACAAAATCCACAACAAACGCAATCATCATTATCATCATCACTTTCATCCAGATCTGAGGCGTTTTGAACCGAAATTAATGCCCACAAACAAACAAAAACAGCTCGATCAATTGACCTTCAACTCTTAATCGAAGAGGAAGACGGAACATACCGTTTCACGAATAGGAATAACAGTAACATATAGAGAACAGTAACGTAGATGAAGTAACAGAGAGAAGTATAAGTGAGAGAGAGAACAGGTCGGGTCGGTTCGGATCCGATCCGATCATTGCTCTGCGCGTCAACAGACCTTGGTTTCCGTAACCTTGCCGTAATTTGCGAAAGTCCTTTCCAGGTCGTCTTGGATGGTATTAAAGTTCAATCCACCGACGAAGCACCTGAACTGCGGCCCGTACTCAACATCTGCGAAAGCCATTTTTTCAGAGGGAGATGAAACAATAAACTACCGAAGAACTGAATAATTCAGTGATTAGAGAATATTGATGATGGAAGGGAAGGATTGATCGAATTATATAGGCGAGCCGGGAGGATTCTGGTAGGTGCTGGGTAGCTAGCTATGCGTGATGCACTGGAACGCTATCCTGCTTTTGGCCCGGAATTAGCGGGGGCTGTTGAAGATGCGTTTGTCAATCGCCCGATTTTTGCGGATCGACTATTCTTCTTAGCTGAGAAATTCTCACCATTCATACGGAAAAAATATCCCAACTCAAAAAAGCGGAAATGCCTAGCTACGGCATAGAGGGGTGGGGACAAATTACTGAATTGGTGGGAAAAAGGGTCGGTTTACTAAATTGGTTAAAAAAACTTTCAAAGACAAATCGGTAAAAAAAAAAAAAAAATTGGGATGGAAGGAGTAATATTTCAAAAATTCTAGTTCATAAAATCACTATGAATATTTTTACTGTTTTATCAATATGAACATTTGCTGCTCTAAATGGAACAGATTTTTTTTTAAAACTAACATATTCATATTCAAAATATTAATACTAGAAATGAATGAATGTATATGTGTGTCCTCGTGTAAATGTACATGCGTTAAAAATGATAAGGGTAGTAGTTCTATAAAACAAAAGTAAATACTTCCTCCGGTTCTAAATAAACTCCACATTTTCCTTTTTGGGTAAGTCCCAAATAAACTTCACACTTCTCTTATTTCCTTATTTGGCAGAGAAATCACATCAAAACAGTACTACCTCCGTCCCTTAAAACTTTGCCAAGTTTGACCGGCACGGAGATTAATAAAGTAAAAACTGGGTGGTTGATGTTTGTGCAGAGGAGAGAGAATTAACTGGAACCACAAATTGTTTACTTAAAATAGAAAATGGCAAAGTTATTGGGACAACCAAAAAAGGAAAGTTGGCAAAGTTTTAAGGGACAGATGGAGTATTAAACAGTGTCACAACAGTATACTCTACAGTAAAGTCAAATTTATTTCCTTATTTTGTGTAAAGTCGAAGTGTGAAGTTTAAAAAGAACCGGAGGAAGTATAATTTTTGAAACTTTTTTTAAAACTTATCAAAAAAATAAAAGGTATATACTTAAAGAGTTTTTACTTGGACTTTAATTTGCTGGTCTGGGCTGGGCTGGTTTGATAATGTCTGGTCTCTTTATATTTTTATAACTATCCAAGTCTGGTCTGGGACGAATTGCAGTGCAAGTAAAAACATCCTAAGTTAAATATAAATGTTTTACAATTTATATTCTTAATAGTCATTTTACGTCTTAACAAATAATTAATTAATCGCAAAAATTTAAGTTAGTAAACATGTACTTATAATCGCTAATGAAAGATGTTGGTTAAAACAGCTAACACCCTAGTTGAAATTTTTATTCATCCATTTTTATGTCAAAATCAGAGTGAAAGAACTGAAAACGTCAATTCACAATATTTAAGGGGGCTAAATGTCGTGAGCTCTGTTAGGTCCCTGTTTTCTATTCTAGAAAATGTATGTATGGAAGGTAGATCTGGGAATGAAGCTTTCCATTGAATGATGAAGAAGTTTACAGAATGATATGAAAGTTAGCGTAAAACTTCTATCACCGATATAGGCACTGCGGCACTAGGAATATCGAAAAGCTTAACCTAGCCTTTCCCTTAAGGCATATATATAGCCTGACGGGAAAGGTAGGTTTTACAATCATTTGGGCTCCTTTTTCTAGGAGGCCCATACCTAAAAAGGTATAAAACCTTTTATTACATATTGCCTTAAAAGGCCTATTCATTATTCTAGCTAGTCTATTTATTTATATCAGCTAAATACAAAGAGCTAAGATACATTGATCACAATATAATGAAAATATCTCTAACAATCTCCCCCTTTGTGATCAGATGTTCTTGCTTCTTCTTTTCTTCACTTCTGAGCTTTAAAATAATGCTTTCTGAGATTTAGTGCATGCTCGTAATTTCTGAGAGACCTTCTTCTGTCAAGTTGTTTCTCGATGGCTTTCAACACTTTGTCAATTCTGGTTGCCTCTGTTAGTTCATCATCTGTGGCATCTGCATACTTCTGTTGTTTTTCTTCAAATTCTTTTCTGATAGGTTGCAGTTTTTCTTCAATGATCTTCAGCGTTCCGTCACAGTATTTGTTGATTTCTTCTGCCACCAACAAACGCCTCTCACCTTTGTGGTTCAGATAGATGATAGCTAACGGGCGATCGAAGATGTAATAGACTGGATAGTTCTCAAGTTCTGGCCCGTAAAGCTTTGGTCTTGAGAGGTTTGTCTTTGGCAGATTTGTTTCTAGGGCCATCTGAAGATCATGGGAAGCAAAGAAATTGGCTTGTCTGATCATGAAGCGCTTGAGTGCCTTGAATCCCTCTTGTGTAGATTTGTCCCAGGTGACTGGAATTTCCTGGAAGGCTAGATACATATGATAGATGTCATCCATCTTTAACATATAAAGGTCATTTTCCTTGCAGGTAAATTCAGTCACGTCGGAGCGTTGCAGGCGGTAAACAGAGAGTGGGATGTCTTGATAATTTATTTCGGCTACATTTAGTATACTCCATATTGGGTCTTTTGCGGTTTGTAGTTCATGTTGCCATACTTCTCTCTGTTTCCCCATGTAATGATGACTAAGCAAAAACAGTTGTCCGCCTTTGTTCTTTCCTCGCAGATGATTGAGTCCACAGATTTTCAATTCGTCTAATTCCTTGACTTCGTCATCTTTCCGCCATATACGCTTTCTGATTTCCTCTTGGAAAGGAGCATTGATGTTAATATTCTCCCAAGGCTTTTCACTCCTGGGCATTCGAGCCGCTCCTTGGGAGGTTCCTGATAGTTTTCTCCTTCCTTAAGTTCATCATCATTAAGCAGTATTACATCAGCAGCACATTTAGCTAGGAGCTCTCTGAGATAGGCTCTTCGCTGTATTTCATCCACATTCATCCATAGCCGAGACCACTTGTTGTGAACAAGAATTTCTTCAAGTTCGTCATGCATTCGATCATCAGGTTGGCTAGAGGGAGCTTGCTGCTGTTGTGGCGCTCTGTCAATGGTAACTCCGGGATCACTAGGATTGCCCGTTATCATCAGATTAGAACTAGGTTCTTTCTGATGGCCTGAATAGAAAGGTGTACTCGAAGTAGCAACCTCAGGACTTCCACTCCATCCTTGGTCTACATCTATGAAAGATGAGCCTAGGAGTGTTGTTTCTAGCTCGACCGGGCTAGATGTGGGTTGATTGGCTGATTGGCTTTTATGTTGAGTGGATGATGGGGGCTGATTGTTCGAGGATTCAGGTTGGTTGGATTGCGTAGAGGGTTGGCTTGTTGACGCATCACGCTCAAGTATCCTTTGTCTCTTGTTCTCCCCCTCATGAGGATCCGAATCATCGGGGTCCTCATGCGAACGTTTGTGACCAAGAACACTATCACGGCATGAGCTGTCAGGTTTAAGGATCCGAAGAAGGTCTTTTTGTTTCTGGGTTAGGTTGCCTTCTTCGGTAGCTAGTAGTTGATCTAGCATAAGGTTCTCGAGTACCTCGAACGGTAAGGTTTTAGGGTCAGGAAAAGGTGTGGTCGAAGTTGGGGAGGATACTAGTTCTGTATCCTGGGTTCCCCTTGAAGCAGTAGGTGAGTGGGGTAGGGTTGTGGATGGTTCAGAGGTTTGTTGGGTAGGTATGATAGGAAGTGGTTGGGTTTGTTGGGTATGTGAGGATGATGGTTGGGGTTGGATGATGTCATTAAGCAACGCCGGGGTGTTCCTGAATTCCTGTGCCCGATCGGTTATTGCTTCGTGCACCCATGGCTTAATGGTGGAATCCAAGAAACGCTGCAGAATGACTGAAAGGTCGGTAGGGTCAGGGTGTCCGGTTACAGGGGTAGTAACCGTTGTCACAGCATCAGTAAAGATTATTGATGTGTGGCCTGCAGATAATGATGGAGATATCTGTTGAGCAGCAGGACTTCCGATCATCATTGACGTATCTCCGATCGTTGAGGACAAGTAAAGTGCACCTGTCGTGTGCGGTGGTGTGAGCAGTGTATGTGTCCTAGAAAATGTTGAAAATGTTGGGATGGTGGAAACTAGACTCAATGTGCTAGAAGGAGGGGTAGTGATCTGGGGCGGAAGACCACAAGGTAAATCCTCAGCTGCTTCGTAGGGAGACAGCGAGGTGGGTATGATGTCCCCTATTTGTGAAACTACTACCTGTTGGGAGGCAGCAGAGTGGCTAGGTGAGGCTTGTGCATGCGCAGTTGGGCTAGATGCTGCGTCTTCTACTCGGAGACTGAAAATATCAGCCTCTGCACCTATGGGGTTAGCCCGGTTTATTGTGTCTAGGTCAGAGCAGCTGTCATATAAAGCTAACTCTTCTGCCAGGTTGCTCACGGTTTGCACTCTTTGCACAGGAGTAGATGATGAGGAGGGGTTGTCATTACGTACCTTGGAGCGAGTCTCACTGATGATATTTCCTTGAGTGTCCTTGATTTGGTGAGACTGCTCTTGTGTTGTAGCCCGAGACTGCTCTTAGCGCGGGCTTTCTCGACTTTCTTGCCCTTGGCTTTGGCATTGTTATCATCCTCATCATCATCATCGTTGTCGTCCTCAGCCTTGCTCCCAGAGCCCTCATCGTCAGCGTCTTGTGTTGTGGCTACGCTTGGCGAATCACGGGTAAACTCCTCAGCACGGGTGTGGCCCTCAGCAGACGTAGTCTGATCATCATGGGGCCGGCTTGCCACTGGTCTCTGTGGCCGGGTTGAACTCTCAGGACCCTCACTTTCTCTCGGCTGACTCCCCGGGGTAGGCTCAGGGGGGTTTATCTGAGCCATAGGGAGTATAATGTTGTTCTCCTCGCTGTAGCGTATGACATGTGGATCATTCCGACCAGCTAACAAGAGGAGAGGGACAGGAATAGGTAGTGGTACCAGTGAGCGTACCTCTGGCATTCTCTTCAGATATTGTAGGGCTGGAGTGCTGACATTCTCAGATGATTTGCGTCTTTGAATAGTTGGAATTGTTCTGCAGAAGTGTCGCACCAGCAGTGAAAACCATCTCATGTATGGAAGATGTTTGATCAGATTGGTGTCGAATTTCCTTCTCCTCATCTCCAAGAACTCACTCCAAATTAGAGCAGTGTAGTCATAATTCTTCATGAAGGCGATCCCATGAAAGATATACACAAGGTAAGCACTGCACTTGTTGAATCCAGTGTGCTTGGAAGTGCAGCACTTATTCAGAGTAGCCATCAGTGTCCTCCATGGGCGCGGCAAG